TTTTATTTCTGCATTTTAATTTTGGCTCCCTGCTGAGAATGGAAATTACAGAAACACTCAAAAGGGATACTTTGTTGAATCTTAATAAACCTGAGTCATCTTGACAAACATTAGCAAATTCAGGTTTGCAGCCTCTCCAGGGAGGTGGGAAAATATTATTGTCTGCATTTAGCAGATGAAGAAACACGACTCCATGGAGGGAAAAAAGGAGATGGACTCAGAAGTGCAGAGTGCTCAGCTATTGGGGAACTGGGTCATCAGAAGGGTATTGGGAACCATGGGTAGCGGGAACTCTGACCTTTCCACATCTCTGTGCATCAGGGACCGAGCAACTGGGCTTTGTTAGCGAGAAGAGCACCGTGGAGTGATTTGGAAATAGCTGTTATCCCCACTGTTGCTCTTGCTTCAAAGAAACTCAGTCTCCCATTCGTGGGATTCTCCTAGTTTTGTGAAGTGGGGTAGGCTGTGTGATAAATTCAATGGTTAGGCAGTGAATTCAGTCTGGTTTCAGTCCATGTTCGGTATTCTGTCCTCTCTCCCACACTGCAGTCCATCTGGCTTGAGTCCCAGACCTTTTCTGTTTCGGAATTAAACCTTTAGTCTGCAGCGCATTTGGGTGGGAGTTGGGCCATTTTGAGCAGGGCTGTAGGCTCAACCATATGCCAGCCCCCTATTAAAAAAAAATCTTCTGCCCAAACCCATTATGACAGATGTGATCCATTTGTTCACCTTTATTTGCCTCTGGGATGGAAGTGTAGGTCAGTACCTTGCTTGCAGTCAGCACAGACAATATTGGACATCCAGGTGGCAGCACCCCAGTGGCAGGATTTGACTTGGGAACTGCCGGGTCCTGATGCTCAAAATAGGCTGCAACGCTATTGCAATGGCAACAGCATTGAAACTTGGAGGCTCACAATAATCTAATGCAGGGTGTGAGGAGACAATCCTCAATGTCCTCTTGCCCTGCATATTCATTGAATTCCCCACCCAGCCCCATCTAGTGACAGTTGGATAGATGGATGGACAGACAGATGGACGGAAGGAAAGAGGGAAGGAAGGAGGGAAAGAAGGAAAAGGAAGCTCAGGAGAATTCTTATCCTGGCTTCTCCGGTTTCCCTTTCTTCCTTGCACCAGAAAGTCTCCCTTCTTGCCTCACCTAGGCCAGTTCCTAACCTCAGAGAGCAGCCAGTGGGTCAGATCTCCAATGCTCCCTTCTGAGGTTGGAGCAGCATCTCCAACTTCAGACTGGGGAATCCAAAATAATTTTATACCCCCCCCCCCCCACAGATGCAGTTTCACAGCCAGAAGATGCCTCCCTTAAGCACTGCTTGTGTTTTACATAAAGAAGAATATCTCAAGTTCAGCCTGATTGGAGAGAAAGTTCTCGTATTTTCTTCCAGATCATTTCCATCTGCCTCCACCAAGGATATTTTGGTTTGCACAGCTGCATCTCACCTTCTTCAGTTTATTCTCGGATGTGTCACTCCATGAATTCAGTCTATGAGATTTCCCCCCACCCCATTCATTCCAAAGGGGTGGTGGAGGGAAGAAATGAAGCAATTAGAGTTTTGTGGCAGCTGCCTCTTCCTCTTCCTCTTTTCCTTTTAACTTTTTAAAACTTCTTTTCCCCTTCTAGTTCCCCCTCATTTGTTTTCTTCCTTGTGACACACTCGCATTCACTGGTAGGACTGTTTTGTTAACCTTCAGGGAAAGCAGGACAAAGCATCGGTTGTCACAGCAGCCCCCAAGCCAGAATCACAGAAGTAGCAGAAAAATGGACCGAAAAGCCTCCACAGTGGTGCTGACCTACAATGCCTGTCTTACCTGAGAGCAACATGGCCAGCACATGCCGCAAGTGCAAGCTGGTAGCCCTGTTGGAAGAAGAGGTGGGAGCACTGGATCAGCGAGTCCACCCTCAAGGTAATAAAAGAAGATGCATAATTTTTAGACAGAGCGGTGAAACTGCGACAGCTAAGAGTAGTATAGAAGCAAGAAATGCATCAACAAGCTGAAGCAGAAGAAGAAAACGCTGAGGGAAGGGGCAATACGGAGGAAGCTCCCTGGAAAAGGGTGACACATGCAGAAGAACTAGACACTTTGCACCACTGGAAGTGATGAATCTCTCAAACTGCTTTCAGCTACTTTATTTACTTATTTACATGTACTTATAGGCCACCTGTAATTACAAAGGCCTTCCTATACTTACTTGAGGATGGACTGGAGGGCGGTCTGCTTTGAAAGAACTGCCACACTGAGTAAGAGGCTAAAGGTCAACCAAATACTAGCAAAACTTGCAATACATGATACTTCCAATGATAACCAAGGCTGGGAGACTCCCTGTTGTGTGGTATGGAGACACATGTATGTCAGGAAGACTCATGAACTCATCAGGTATGCCGTTTCCCTGGAGCACAGATTCCATGTATCCCTTTCTTCTTATCCACATGGAAACCAATGGCACTGCCAGATGGGGCTCTGAAGAAATTAGATCAACGTTTGAAGCTTTAGGGAGGAAAATGAAGACTTTTGAGGCCAAAATCCTTTTCTCTTCAATCCTTCCAGTGTGAAGAAGAGGAATGGACAGGGAAATAAAAATGCTCCAAGTGAATGCCAGGCTACGAAGGTGGCGCTTACAGGAGAGGTTCGGTTTCTAGGACCACAAGCTACCCTTCCTGCAAGATGGACAGCTGGCAAGGGATGGCTTGCACCATACAAGGACTGGAAGAATGTGCTTGGCCAACGGACGAAGAGATGTATCAGGAGGGCTTTGAATGAAATCCTACAGGGGAGGAAGACGTACACCTGGATGTAACAACAAACCATGACTCACACACCACAAAAGGGGAACAGCTTTAGCAGTACCCACTAATGGTCTTCCAAAAAATGCAGGAAGAAAGCTTCAGTACAAAGTATGCAGTCGTCATATAATAATACCCTGAGTATGGGAAACAAACAGTATGAACTTGAGATTTTAATACAGAAGGGTGAATACAACCTGATAGGTATAACTGAAATGTGGTGGAACAACTCTCAGGTGGAGCCACAGGTGGCTACAGAATCAGACTCAGAGAGTGTTTATCGATGGGGTAGTGTTGGGTTCAGCCCTGGGCCAGTGCTCTTCAACATTTTCCTTAATGCCTTGAATGAAGAGGTGCAGAGAATACATATCAGATTTGCAGATGACAGAAAACCGGGTGGACTGGCTAATAATACCCTGGAAGAGAGAAAGAATATGCAGGGTGATCTTAACAAATCAGAGTACTGAGCTGAAGACAACGGAATGAGATTCAGTAAGGACAGCTGCCAAGTTCTACACCTAGGGGAAAAACAGACAGACAAATACACCATTACCAGATGGGCAATACTTCTTGGCTCAACAATACTGCAAAGGGAGAAAGATCTCAGAATTATTGTTGATCAGAAGCTGAAAATGAGTCAACCGTGTGATGTGGCCGCAAAAAGGCCAAATGGTATTTAGGCTGCACTAATGCAAGTATCACTTCCAAATCCTGTGCAGTTCTAGTTGCACATTAGCCAGCGCTGGTGAGGCCGCAACTGGAGTGCTGTGTACAGTCTGGGCAGCACAGTTTAAGATGGAGATGCGGTGGGAAGGGTTCAGAGGAGGACATGAGCCAGGGACTGGAAACAAAGCACTATGTGGAGTGATTGAGAGAACTAGGCATGTTTAGCCTTGAGAAAAGAAGGCTAAGGAGAGAGATGACCGTACTCTACAAGAACTTGAAAGGCTGCCAGGAAGAGGAAAGACAGAGTCTCTTCTCAGTCATCCCAGAATAATAGGCCCAAGTTACAGGAAACCAAGATACCAGGTAGATATAAGGAAAAAATTCCTGACTGACAGAGCAGTACAGCGATGGAACCAATGGCCTAGAGAGGTGGTGGGCTCTCCCACACTAGAGCATTCAAGATGCCACTAGCCCTCTGAGGGGACTTGGAGTCCTGCAGTGAGCAGGTTATTGGGCCCAGTGCTTTTCCGGCCCTTCAATTCTACTACTCTGTGATTCCATGATTCTGTGAAGAAAAGTCTTCAGCCCTGGACTGCATGCTCGGAAGTAGGATCGTTTACTCTAGTTTGGGGAACACCTTCCTCCAGTGGACCATTTACCCATAATTAGGGAGCTCTGAATTTTGATTGATGATGCATTTCATTGAAGGAGGCAATTAAGTCACTGCAATTCAGTCCAAGGAGATCAAGTCAGACACGCACATTTTGCAAACTGTGCTCTTCCATTGATCCCAGTGCGTAACCCCTCCTTCCCGTAGTGCACTTTAATTGCCCAGATCGGGGGTGGCCAAACTGAGACTCAGGAGCCACATGTGGCTCTTTGAGTTGATTGTGTGGCTTGCTGCCCATAGGTGCCCACTGGCCACTCGCTTCCCACTGCCGCCACCTCCTTGCAGCTTTCAGACATCCGACATTTGCCATATGTGGCTCTTCCATTGAGCGAGTCTGTTCTCCCTGGCCTGGATCGTTCATATTATGCTAGAGATGTAAGAAGGGGGTGAAGGAAAGAGAAAAAAAAACATGAAGGAATATATGTTTCTGAATCATAGCATATTTCCTTCAAAGGTGAAGGATACACAGACACACACCCCCCCCCTAAATATTTCTGAATCATAGCATGTTTCCTTCAAAGGTGAAGGGAAAAATACTTAAATGTATCTGAAACATAGCAACAAGTAGGGAGGTATGGATTTTGTGTCTGCAGTCCACCTGCATTTCCCAGATTTTCAGGCGCCTTTCATTCTGTTGTCTGCTTGTTGACAGAAATGGATTTCGTGCAAATGTGTTTTCACTTGCACAAATTTGCACTTCTGAAAATGTACACATCTCTCTCAAATGAGCAAATACACCCTCACATGTTAATTATCATGCTTTTAAAAGGCTCGCATTTTATATGACTAAATTTGCATAATATCATTGTACTTAACAGCCACAACAGCACTTTCCCCAAGTCTGGAATCCGTGCAACTTAGAAAAGAAGGTCTGCTCTGGGATCTGCAGGTCAGATTTATAGAAATCTAAACTAATTTGAGTCTGTTGTGGGTTTATCTGACATCCAGAGCAACAGGTACCTGCGATAATTATCCTGGATGTACAAGCAAGAACAAAAAGACGGAAGAAGATTGGGAGGAAGGGAGGGAGAGATCTTTCCCTGTATAAAATATCTCGGAACTGTAACTGAGATAGGGAGCAATGTGGCAACAGTGTGGTCTGTTGAGCCTAGTTGATGCTTTGTTTGGGAAGCTCAGGGCACAAGACCCCGTTGATCTGTGCAATAGCAGCCTACACTTTCCCATTCAGAAGCCATGGACCGTTCAGCTAGATCTCTGTGCCTTTCATTCAGCATCATGCACCATCATCCATGTGATTATAAGGCAGAAGAGTGACCTTGCTGGCTCTACCCCTGAGGTTGCCTGCCTGTCCATCATCAGACATACCTTAAGAGTGGCCATTCCAGGGCATGGCAATATGTGAAGGCTTCCGCCATGCAGCCACCTGGTGTCAGGATGCGGACATTCAGGAGCAGGGTAAAAAGACCCCACAACACCAGGAAGGAGGATCTGCAGTGCGCCTCCCTCTCTTTAGCTCCGCAGCTCCCATGCATATAAAACACACAGAGGGCTGGGGGGATAGAATACTAAAGCAGTGTGTGAATTAATAACCTGGCAATGCCTATACTTGCAAAAATAAAAATAATAATTCTCTTTTTAAGTGTCTAAACCATGCACCACCAAAGGAATACAGAAAGATCATTTGCATCCTTACATGCCTCCCTTCTTGCTGTATCTTCTCCCCTCCCCTCCTTTCCTGTTGTTTTTCCTCTTAAGGTTTCCAACTGAATTTAACTCTTGCCCCTAAAACAGGGACATGGACACATCCTCCCTCCCTCCAAAGTTCATGCACTGGTTTGCCCCCTTTTTTGCAAATAGAAACTCAGTGAATTTGGTGAGGCAGGGAGCAGTGATGCTTAATGTGGCAGTGAGCCACATCTCCCTGATCCAAGTCGTGGTAGCTGGTGCACCTCATCCCTCCTGGCCCATCCATGCCTGCTTCACTCTGGAGCCCTCCTGGATGGAGAAGCGCTGCAGAAGTCCCACTGCAAGGCTCTTGCTGCCCGTGAAGCAACCCAGTTAGCTGCTTCTCTGCCTGTTGCTTCCCCCAAGCCGCCAGATTAGCAGGGTGATCTGCTGTGGCTGCCCCAAGTGACGACAGGACAGCAAAGAGGTAGAGGGACTAACAAGAGACACCTCATATGGCAACCTGTCATGTCAGCTGGGTTTTTTGTTGCTTGCTCTGCGTGCACGGGTTTAATTCTCTCATAGGCTGTTTCTTGTCTGAAGTCCTGTTTAAGGGCTAATTAAATCTCATGAGAGTGAGAGTGAGGAGGCAGGGATGAGAAATCAAGGTTATTCATCTCTTGCTTGGTAAAACAGTTGTGGACAAGCAAGCTGTTTCGCACAGGTTGTTTGCTTTAGGTTTCTCTTCCCCCCTCCGTGCGTGGGGGGGGGGGTTGCAAAAACCTGTGCTTGTTCCTGCTGCTGCTTTCTGCAAATGTGAAGTGTGGGGAAGGTCTAGCCACACAATTTTTGCCAGATGGGCATCCATATGCTTCGCCTCTCTCCATGCATCCGTTTTAGCTTTGGCATGCACATATGCCTCATTTTTTCCAGTTGTGTGTAGAGGGAATTTTGCATGATTTAACAATATTAAAATTAATTTCATTTGTGCTCTCTTTGGAGTTGCTTGGCTGGGTCCTCAGGTCCTTAGCCTACAGTCTTTAGGACCGTTCCTTCCAGGCCCAATGCTGCCTGGGTGCTTGCTTTGCAGCCCTCTAACAACTTTCCCCTTCCTGCATCCAGGGCATGCTCAGAGTTTCCAGTCTCAAGCAACCTAGCACACCATTAATCAGAAATCAGGCCCACTGAATTAATGTTCAGTGTGTCAAGCAGGTAATAAAATTGGAATGAAGGAACAATCTCTTTCATATGCAAGTCTCAGAGAATTGCTGGGTGGGCTCCTCTCAGTGACAAGCCTATTTGGAAAACATTAAATGAAGATCCCCTTCGCCATGCTAGACGTCTGTACTGCCTCTTAATGTTGAATGCATTTCCATAGGATAAGAGAATTTTCCTTTTTCCAGTCTATGCTACTTTTGCATATTGTACCCTGAGTTCCGTCTCCACATGCATTTGTAGCTCCATATATCTTTATTTCAAGAGTATATTTGTATTCTCTCTCAAATTACATATTTCAAATTGAATGTGCATTTTGATGAATATAGATGGCCATGAACTATGCTGCAGCATTCAGAGAAATGCAAATTCCACTGGGTAACGAAGTCCTGATCCTTGCATTAGCCAAAAGATGTGAAAAATGTCCTTTTGCATAGGAATTGACACAGATCAAAATCTTCACAGATTCCTGCTTCTCCACCATGATTGGAACACTTGCTTGCAATGTACTGAGGTTTTGGGGAGGAGAGCTTTTTTGTGGCCTCGGCAGAAGCTGAATAGGCCAAGAAAATAAAACCCAGGCTGTGTGTGTGTGCGTGCGTGCGTGCGTGTGCGCGCGCGCATGCGTGTTTGGTTACCTGAGGGACCACCTTCACCCATGTGAGTCTGCCTGACCCCTTAGATCAGAACAGGAGGCCCTTCTACAGAAGCCACCTCTCAAAGAGATGAGGTGGGCAGATAGGAACAGGGCCTTCTCAGTGGCTGCCCCCACTTCTGGGATCAACTCCCAAGGGTAATTTGCCTGGCATGTCACTTTTTTCATTTTGACATGAGGCAAAAATGTACATTTTTAATATCTATTTTATCTGATCCTAATATCTATTTTATTTTTCTTTCACTTACTTAATGCTCTTGCATTACTATTATATTTGGTTTTAAAAAATCTAAAGCTATTAAAAATAAATAGCTTTATTTCAAAATATGGTTTTGTAAGCTACCTGGGGACTTGACTTGGTGGCACATAAATGAAGATAAATAAAATACCTGCCGAATGTCAGTGGCCCTGGCAGTGGAGGCGCAGCAGCTACACTTCCATGAGCTGCTGCCAAGGTTCATGCGACATGAACTATCCAGGAGAATGCTCCGGTTCCTGCTTTAGGCATCCCATCATGGAAATCTAAAGGGAGGGAAACGGTTTGCAGTTTGATGGAAGGAAAAGCCTTCTGCTGCATGTCCCCGTGAATGATGGGACTGCTGATGTGTGAGGGGGTGAGCAGGGGTAGCTGTGTCGCCTCCTGCTGTTCTTCCAAAATCTCGTCTCTCATTGATAGAACTGGGTGTCAGCAGCCAGGAGAGTCTTCTGCTCACGCCGGCCCCTGCCATGCTCTAGAACCATGCTAGTTAGTTTCTGGGTTCTCTGGATGACATTGCCACCTTCCATTGCACTTCGGCTTTTAACCAGGGCTCTCACAGCTTTCCTCCAAGCAGGTGCATGCCTTATTTAAAAAGCAAAAGCAAACTCTTTTTCTTATTGGGCAATCACACTGTTCTGCTATCTCTCGGGGCCACCAAAGGTTATGCAGCAGAAAAGCAGGAAAGGGAACACTCCTTAAGCAGATCAACAGTAGGAAAGCGCATAGCATCTGACTATGTCCTTGCAGCCTTTAACTCCACCACATCACCCCTTATGGCTGAAACTGCTTCCCCTTTTTCCATCTTGCAAATGACCCTACTACTAAGACAGGGGCTGCAATGACTCTAGCAGAATTTGCATCAGGATATAAAGGCAGAGGATTGTGCTGTAAATGTGTGCTAGTCTATCCGGAGGAGCATGTGGAATAAGCTGGTGTTTCCTCTTGCTTTACCAATCCCTTTCTCCAGTTCCCAGCACTTCCTCTGCGGTCTCCCTTGTGCAGAATCACTGCTGCTCCATCTTCCCATGGTCAGCAACCGTTTCAGTCTCCCCACCATTATAAGGGACCTCTCCTGATGAAGAGTCCCTCCTCTTTCCAGCAGCAGCCAGCAGTAATATCAGGCTAATAGGATGCTTCCTTCCCCTGTGGTGTTGCAAGCCAGGAGGACCCAGGGCTGGGAAGAGATGGATGAGAAAATAAAGCAGGCTGCGCTTAGTGGAAAGGATTTTAATTGGAGTGGTATGCTCATCTTGGCTAATTGTACATTGCACATTCTGAAGAGTGTGCTCCAGTCTGGGATCAAGGCTGCTGGAAGGGAGTGGGGGAGGAACAGCCTCATTAAGTTGGGGAGCTTCGGTGGCTGCTTTGTTCCTCGGCCCTCGCAGCTGGCGGCTCTCACTGGGATCTCAAGCACAGAAGGAGAAAAGCAGGCGGGCCGGCCAGGGGATGGATAGCTGCTGGATAGATCGATTCTGCTGAATCCAGTGCACGCAGCAGCCCGAAGTTCCCTTCGTGGTGCCTGCTCCTTGCTCCTTGCTAGCCAAGGGGTTGTCATTAGTCAAATGAACAGTGATTATTAAGGGTTCTCTGGTGTTCTTAGGTGGCAGGTGCCCAGCTCCACAGTGACTTATTAGTGAACGGCAGACCTCCTGGAGGCCTTGGATGGCAGAGTGCTTCTTTTAATGAATCTCTGGGTTGTTTTGCTTCTTAAGTGAAGCATTTGGATAATGAAATAGCCAGTATCTCCTTAATTCATCTCTTCCTTCCACCTCTCCCCTGCCTCACTGCTTTGCTTTGCTCTGGCAATTTCTGTAAGCCAAGAGCTCCCCTGCTTCCGTTATCGGGCATGCATTCTACGTACATCTTGGTGGGTATTTATCGGTGAGAAAGAGGCAATTGAAATAGCCACCACTAAGATCAATCTTTAATCCATGTCATTTGGTCAGAAGGTGATTTTGCATAAATAATGCAAAATTGGATATTTCCTAACGTAAGAAAAGCAGCTTCTTAACAGTCTCTGTCAATGTGCAGTTAGAACTATGGCCATCATCAGTACAACAAAAGAAAGATTTCAAATTTCTAGGCAACAGCGTCAGACCACAGACAGATGGCCT